CTTGTGGCTCTTTGAGAAATCAGGGATAGAAGTCAAACTGATTCCCTCATTTTTAGCCTGAGTGAATGTGAGAATGGTGATATCATTAACAAAATAAGGGAACTGATTTTTTAAAATTTTTTCCTTTTGATTGTGAAAATGTACGTAAAAAACATAGGCCAGTTGAACAGTTGCTTCATGTATAATTCAATTATATTACCTACATCCACTTTTTATATCCTTTTCCAAATCACTCCACCATCTTTAACATAAATGCAATGCCTTCTAAGTAAAAACTCACCTCCCTCTCCCCCCTTTTGTTAAACACTTATAGTCTTCCATTTATATGTTTTTGTTTACTTCATATTAGTAAGCTGATATAATATTTGTCCTCTTGTATCACTCTGGAGACTAAAGTGTGTCTGATACAGGCTATGGTCTTTGCAATCACTTGTTATGCATCAGAGAGTTGGACAATGACTAGGGAGGATAGAAGGAGAATTGGTGCCTTTGAGCTGTGGTGCTGGAGAAGAGTATTGAGGGTACTATGGACTGCCAAGAAAACAGATTCATCCTAGAGAGGGTTAAACCAGGCTGCTCCTTGGAGGCAAGGATTCTGGGGCTTCTTCTGACATACTTTGGACATGTTTTAAGGAGAGACAGGTCCTTGGAGAGGGACATCATGTTTGGTAGGGTAGAGGGACAGCGCAGGAGGGGAAGACCCTCCGTGAGGTGGATTGATTGGGGTAATCGGGATGGGTGTGTCAGAGGCAGTGCGATTGGCACAGGACAGAGCAGAGTTTAGGGCTGTTGTACATAGGGTCGCTATGAGTCGCAAGTGACTCGACGGTACATAACAACAACAACACCACATCTGGTTTATTTAGCTCAGCATAGTGCTTGCAGGGTTCATCAGTGTAATAGCGTGTACCTGCTGTGCAGCTGTGTACCGTAGAGTCGGAACTGACCCATAGCTGACCCTTCAGCTGGTTTTCAGAGGCAGTTAACTGCACGGGAGGAGATTGCCCATCTTTCTCCCATGGAGCAGCTGGTGGCCTCGAACCACATACCACCAGGATTGCAACGCAACTTTTTGCCATGTAATAGGACTTCATTTTCTTTATAAATGAGTGATAATCTATTGTATGCTTATACTACATTTTGTTTACCCATTCTTCTGTTTATGAGCATTTCTTTTTCTGTTTCCCTCCCTCTTCCCCTTTCCATATTTTACTACTGTGAAACATTAATGTAGAGGTTAGCAGATCCAGAGTGTCATGGGATTGTTGTTGTTAGATACCGTTGAGTTGAACACAACTCACAGCAACCCTGTGAACAACTGACCTAATAGGTCTCTTTCCTGTGCATCCTCATCATGACACACTTAAACCCACTGCTGCAGTCATTGTGTCAGTCCATCCCGTTGAGTCTTCCTCTCTTCCATTAACTTTTCACCTTTTAAGTACGATGTCTTTTTCTAGCACCATGCCTAAAATAGGATAGACAAAGCTTCACCATCCTTGCCTCCAAGGAGCTCTGGCTGCACTTTCTTCAAGACGTATCTGTTTCTTCTTTTAGCCATCCATAGGATATTTAGTACTTAATACCACAATTCAAAAATATCAATTCTTCTTCTGTCATGCTTGTTAATTTTCAGACTCTCAGGTGTATAGCAAGTGATTGAAAAGATCGTGGCTTAAATGAGATGCACCTTAGTCTTTTAACTTACATCATTGCTCTTCAGTATTTTGGAGAGTTCCCTGACAGCTGATTTGCCCAATGCAATACATCTCCTGACTGCAAGTACCAGTGGTGTTGATTGTAGAGCCAACCGACATGAAATCATTGACAACTTAGTCCTTTCTCCATCTGTCATGATTTTGCCTATTGGCCCACTAATGAAAACCTTTGTTTTCCTGATGTTGAGATGTAATCCATATTGAAGGCAAAAATGGCTAGTTTAGCAAAAGATCTGCTAAAGTTTTTGATCTGCAGCAAATGTTTAAAGTTCTCACTTTCAGCAGCAGTGTTGTGTCATCTGCATAACACAGGTGGTTGATGAGTATTCCTCTGATCCTGATGTCAACATTTGTCTTCATAAAGTCTAACTTTATTTATGAGTTATTTGCTCGCATATAGATTGAATAGGTGTGAAGAAAGGATACATCCTTGAAACACACTCTTAGTGGGATTAAGTGTTTTTACTCTTAATCCTTTTACAACCATTTGGTTTATTAGTTCATGAGAAATTACATAGTTTCGCATTGTATTTTATATACGTGTATTTTTGGGTGACAGTTTAATCCATGACAGTGTGTCTTCCTCTAACCTAATGCCGCCTTCTCCTTCATTTACTTCAGATTATGTACTCAGCATATGGATTGAATAAGTATGCTAAAAGAATACAACCCTAATGCACATTTTTCCTGATTTCAAACCACACAGTATTCTTTTTCTCTAGATGATGGCATTTTGATCTATGTGTATGTTCCTCATGACCACAATTACATGGTCTAGAATTCCCATTCTTTGCAATGTTACCCATTATTCGTAAATATCCATATAGTAAAAATATGTTGTATAATCAGCAAAACACTGGTGAACATCTTTCTGGTACTCTCGCCTCTATTGAAGATCTGTATGGCATCAACCATGATTTCCTTCATTCTTTATTCTCTTTTGACTCTGACTTCAATATCTGGCAATTAACTGTTGCTGTACTGCTTTAACTAATGTCTTCGACTATATTACTTAGTTCAGAAATATGCCCATGACTTAAAACACATTAGTGAATGGTATGTAAAGTGATCCTAATGGTGCTTCTTTGCCATTTTTTAAAATATCCCTTCTGGTTTGGAGGGAAATCTTGGGGTGGCAGGGCCCTATTCTTATTACAGAACCCTTTCCTACTCTTCCTGACAGCCAGCACATGTGTATGTGAGCTAAGATTTTCCCAAGATTGTGAATCTTAAGTCATTAATGTCAGAGGAAGGGATGTTGAAGTTAAAATTCTCAGCAACTGCTCAGTCTAGTAGTAGTGGCAACATAGATTTATTTGGTCTTAGCCTACTTCTTTCTCAGCCTTATTTTTTAATCTTCTTTCTCTTTTGCTCAAGTTGCCAAATTTGTTTCTGTTATTAGTATACAAGAACTCCGATTTATATCTCAGTTTTTTGTTTGCAAGTGGGGAAAAAGCATAACAACAAAATCACGTTTGCTTTTGATAGGTTTCTTTAACAGTTTCATGGAATACATACCATATTGTCAGTAGTACTTTTATTAAGTAGTTGAGATTTAGAAGCAGACTGGAGGCAGTGAAGCTGGCTTGACACAGGATGGGAGGACACAGTTTTGCTTTAGATAGTTCTAGCTTGTTTGGATTCCCTTGCATTGAGTATATATTTTAGTAATTCACATACTTGAACAAAAACACACAGTAAGAAAAAGTGGAAATTATTGCTTGCCAAATCTATTTTACTTTATTAAGAAGAATTGGTACAAAAATCAAATGGAATAGGTAAGGTGACATTGTACTGAAAATTATGATGAAATTGTTGGAGTCAGAACTCAACCATAGCTGACCCTCCGGCGGGTTTTCAGAGTCAGTTAATTGGATGAGAGAAGATTGCCCATCCTTCTCCCATGGAGTAGCTAGCTGGTAGATTTGAACCACATGCCTTCAGGGTTGCTTTGCAGCTTGTTACCACTAGGCCACCAGAACTCTCTTTTATTGGTAATTATAATAATGATGATAATGTTATTTAGCATGTTGCCACAAATGACGGCTATAAAAAAATGTGTTTCTAAGCACGGTCGTCAATTTAAAACTGTGCGGCAACTTGTTAAATATGAGGGAATAATAGTAGTAGTAGTAGAAACAGTAATAGTGACTTTTACATGCCATTTCAGTAGAGCTATATGGAAGGAAAGAGATAATATATAAGACGTTAGGGCTGTGGATATCAATTACTTGTTGGTTTGACTGTGAAATGAAGAATAGAAATCAGATGATACATTTTTCAACTTTTTAATTTGAACATTTTCTGACTTAAAAATTGAATGTGTCAGAAATACTAGTGTAACCTCAGTGTAGTGTCACCAGTGGTTTATATTACATCAGTGTTTATATTTGGCACGCGCGCTCTCTCTCTCATTCCCCTCCCACCACTTCCATCTACCTACCTACCTAAACTTTGGCTTTGTTTTTGTTTTTGCTACACCATTTGACTACAAATTATATGTATGATGACACTTTATGCCACATACTTTTAGCTAGTTTAGTTCAACAGTACGCACATTATTCTCTATAATCACACACATTTCTGTATTCACATTTAGGAAGACTCATTACTCCACCATATCATTTATAAACTCAGCAACCACAACAAAAAGACCAATTGTCATTTAGGTTCTCATGGTGACCACATGTGTGCAGAGTAGAACAAATACTCCATGGAGTTTTCAAGGTGATGGCATTTCAGAAACAGGTTAGGGCTTGCTTCCAAGCTACCTTTTCATTAGTCCAAACCTTTCCTTAGATATTTTTAAAACCTCTTTGGGTTTTTTAAAAATTATTATTATTATTATTATTAATCTATTAGTTATGTGTGTCTGTGTGTGTATACCATCAAATCGGATTGTACAGGGGGAGATTGTCCCTCCTTCTCCAGCAGAGCATCTGGTGGATTCGAACCACTCACCTCTGGGATTGCAGTATAGCTTCTTGCCACTAGGCCAGCAGAGTTCACCAAAAACCTCTTGAGTTTTTTTTAAAGAGAAAATAATATATTTCCTCAATTCAGGATTCAGCAGTAGTTTAAGTGCAGCATTTACTTCTGTGATCAGTGATCGCTTTTAATCTTTACTAACATTTCTCCTTTCTTTTTGTCCCCTTTAATAGTGACTTATGAGAGGCTTAAGCCAGTTATCTTGCACAATGCCTTATAATCTGGATTTGTCTGATGTGTTTTTTCATGATGTACCTTATTCTTAATTCTTACAGATAATTTTCATAAGAAAAGATGGAGTTGGGAAAAGGAAGACTTCTCAGGACTGGCCGGAATGCCTTGTATCAAGCAGTGCACCCAGTTCATGGCCTTGCCTGGACTGATGGGAGTCAGGTGGTCCTGACTGACGTACAGCTTCACAATGGAGAGGCCAGGTTTGGAGACTCAAAGGTCCTTGGGCAATTTGAACATGTCAGCGGACTGTCCTGGGCCCCACCTGGTACAGGTGACACGCCCACTCTGCTCGCTGTCCAGCACAAGAGCCACGTCACTGTGTGGCAGCTGTGTCCCAGCACCACAGAGACGAGCAAATGGCTGATGGCTCAGACCTGTGAGATTAGAGAATCCCTCCCTGTCCTTCCCCAGGGGTGTGTGTGGCACCCCAAAAGTGCTGTGCTGACTGTGTTGACTGCACAAGATGTCTCCGTTTTCCCTAATGTTCACTGCGACAGTTCTCAGGTGAAAGCAGACGTCAACCCTCAGGGCCACATTCACTGTGCATGTTGGACCCAAGATGGCCAGAGGCTGGTGGTGGCGGTTGGCAGCAGTTTGCATTCTTATATTTGGAACAGTGCACACAAGACTCTTCACAGATGTTCCTTTTGCCCAGTGTTTGATGCAGACAGCTATGTCCGCTCTATTGAAGCCACTGTGGACTCTCAGGTTGCTATAGCCACTGAGCTTCCTCTAGATAGGATTTGTGGTTTAAATGCTTCTGGAGCCTTTGATGTTCCCACTGGTGTTAAAGACACGTCTCCACATACTTTACCACTTACTGGTGAAGTGCCCTTTATGGTTAAAGGGGCAAATGCTTCTGAAACAAATTCTGAAGTATCTGTTTCTCCTTCTGTTTCTTCCTCCTCAGATCCTCTGGATCTAACTCACATACGTTTCAGTAGGTCTGGATCTAAGCGCAATTCTCTTATTTGTCTAAGGAGAAAGGACTACTTGACAGGAACTGGCCAGGATTCCTCACATTTGGTCCTTGTGACTTTTGAGAAAGAGGTCACCATGACCAGAAAAGTGACCATTCCGGGTATTCTGGTTCCTGATTTAATAGCATTTAATCTTAAAGCACAAGTAGTGGCTGTGGCTTCCAGTACTTGTAACATCATATTGATTTATTCTGTCATTCGATCTTCTATGCCAAACATTCAGCAAATTAGATTACAAAGTAGTGACAGACCCAAAGGCATGTATTTCTTAACAGACAAATTATTACTGATTTTGGTAGGAACACAGAAATCCACTGATTTGGCATTTCTTCCTTCTTCAAAATCTGAACAGTATATAATCCGCTTGGTCGTCAAAGAAGTGAAGTTGGAAGAAGAATCTTCAGTGACCTCCAACAAAAGCCAGAGTCGCTACTCTCTGTTAAATAAAGCAAACAGAAGAAAGCAAATTCAAAGTCTTTCCCCGGATTTTTCTCACCTAGCCAGAGGGCTCTTGTTACCAAGTAGTCCCAGTAATCAAAATGGAAGTCCTGGAAAAACCCTTATTAAAGAAATCAAGAGTCCCACAGCGGGTATCTGTGAGGAGTCCACAGCTGTAGAAACTCTCGATGCGGAGCCCATTAACCGATCGGTAACAAAGCCCCAGCCTCGCAGTCCGCCAGAGTCCTCCCCAGTGCAGTGTAACCCACCACCAGAGCTGCCTAACTTACCTCAGAGAAAGAATTTGCAAAGGGAAAAAGAAGCTTGTCAGATATCTAAGAAACTTGAAGTTCTGTCAAGGACTCTGACTGAAATGCAGCAGTGTCTTTCTGAACTCACAAACTGTCTACACAATGGGAAGAAATCCTCTCCCGGATACCAACTCTCTCAGGATCCTCCTTACGTTCACATCATTTACCAGGTAATTTTTTCCTTTGTGGAGCCGCCACTGTAAATATAATTCATGCAACCCGTGGGTAGTGTAAGGGAAATTATTACGGAAGATAGTGCTCTAATGGGACATCACTGATAAACTGGGCATGTTATATGACAGGCAAGTTGTTAATACTTTTATAGGCTGGTTGATAATAGCTTGTTAACCAGGCAGACACACCTATTAGTGTGAACCATTATTTTATCATGGTCATAGTGTGCAAAACTGAGTTACTACATTTGCTTAACAATTTGTATTTATAAAAAGATTGCTTTCGTACCATAAATAGGGACCTCTGGTGGCTTAGAGGTAAGAAGCTGTGCTGCAGTCCCAAAAGCATGGGATTCAGATCCACCAGCAGCTCCTTCCATGTGATTTACTGCCTCTGAAAACCCACTCTGAAGAGTCAGCTGTGGGTCGTTTCACCTCCCTGTCACACCGCAAGAACATCTTTATTTAATTGTGAAAACTTGTTTCCTACTTGCGTTTTTCTATTTATTTAAAAAAAGTTCATTTTCTTCCTTTTTAGTACATATGTTCACTTGTGTGTGTGTTTGCAAATATGTAATATATAAAGAGATAATATCCTTGGTTTTCTTTTCCTCTCTATTGTTGTAAATATATATGTAACAACACTTGGCATTTAAACAGTTGACAACGTACAGTTTAGTGACATGATGTTCATCAAGTTTTAGAGCACAATGTTGTAATTACCTTTATTCATTTCTGATTTTTACCATCAGCTTTTCTTCCCGTTTTTAGAATTGTGGTTTGAGTGAAAAATTAGAAAGCAAATTGATGTTCCATTCAGCTATCTATAGACACTTTGTATAATAACATTTATAATACTCACAATGTGTCATACGTTTCCCACTTCTCCCTCTAATTCTCATTTCTGTTAATCCTCTCACCTTCCCTTCCTGCCTTTTAAAAGACTTTATCTTTGGGCACATGTTTCTTTCAACTTTATGGGGTTGGTTATTCTAAGGAGTGAGTCCATCTACCTGTTGTTATTAGGAATCCTTTCCATCCCCGTTGGACTTGGTCGTACTTACTTCCCACTTGAAGGTGTCATTAGTTTAAGGTGGATCCATCCTCCTGCATTTGTCTCCATAGTCTTAATCTTACACAGATCATTGCATTTATACATATATAAAGATGTGTGGATGTGGTTTGTCATTGAGGTCCTGTGGTGTCCACTTTCATGCTGAAGGTGTTATTTGTTCAGCCACTCCCTTATTGATGGACATTCACTTTGGTTTTAGTTCTTGTCCATTCCAATACTGCTGCAATAATAGCCTTGCATATTGTCCCTTTGTATTGGCATTTTTATTTCTTGTTGGACTGTTTCCCAGAAGTGGAAGTGCAAATGTGAAGAGTATGTACATTTCTGCTTGTAATAGAGTTGTCAAGTTACCTTGCAAAGAGCTGTTACTGCACAATTCATCTTCATACATGCACCAGCCTCATACGAGACTGTCCTCCTCACGTGCTTCCCAGTGTAATCAGTTTGAGATGATAGTTCTCTTTCTTTCATTTGTATTTCCATTTCCTCTTTGAATTTGAGCATGGTTTTTTGATTGGTCATTTGAAATTAGTCTTTTGTGAATTGCCCATTGCTCATTTTCCTGTTGGTTTTATCAGTTTGTAAGAGTTATATGTCACAGAAATGACAATTTCCTGGATTCATATTTCTTGCACTCTGTTCCAATTATTAGTGGGTATTTGCAGCTCTTTCTCCTTAATTTAAATCACGAAGCACATGAAAGCGCTTCTTCTGCTGGAAACTCTACTTCATCCAGGTCTTTCAGAGAGACTCCCTGGAGGAGGCAGTTCTTCCCCATCCTGCTTAGAGTGCCTTCCAGCCTGAAGGCCTTGTCTTCCAGTGCTGTCTCAGATCATTCAGGTTTTCAGTGGCCTTTTACTTCAGAAGTAGATGGTCAGGTCTACTTCCTAGATTGTCTTACTCTACAAGCTCTACTAAAACCTGTCTTAACATAGATAACCCTGCTTGTGTTTGAAACACCAGTAGCAAAGCTTATAGTATCACAGCAACATGCAAACAACCTGCAGTAACTACAGCAAACTGACAGATGGAGAAATTACTATGCATGTAATCATTTAGAGTTTTGTGCAGTGTGTTTTAATTTTTTTTGTTTGTTTTGCATTTAAGCTTTTAATCTTGAATTACATTACCACTTATGCTAGCAAGATTATTAAGAAGTAATCCTTATCAAATTCAATGTTATTTACTACATTTATCATATATAAACTTACACATATTGGGATCTGATTCTGTATACACTGTACTATAACACCACTTTAATAGAACTTTATCAATAATATGCTGATTTGATAATATATATATGCATGCCAATGCACAATAAGGGTGAGTTAAATGTAGTTGCTTATGACATTTGCTGTTTACAGGAATGGCTCTACTTAAACTTCATTTATAGACATCTTTGAATAATTCATCTTTCATTGTTGAAATTTTGTTTCTGAGCAATAAATAGCAGTAAAACAAATGAGCTAAACATGCTACTTACTTGTAAAACTGTTCTTCCAATGTTTAAATGAAGATATCATTTCATATATTATATGTTGTTGTTGTTATGTGCCATCGAGTCACTTGCGACTCATAGCGACCCTATGTACAACAGCCCTAAACTCTGCTCTGTCCTGTGCCAATCGCACTGTCTCTGACACTCCCATCCCGATTATCCCAGTCACTGAATAAATCCATCTCATCCAGGGTCTTCCTCTCTTGCACTGTCCCTCCACCCTCCCAAGCATGATGTCCTTCTTCAAGGATTAGCTAAGAGTCTATTGTGATTATACCTTTGAGTTTTAAATGTGTTTTAAAACTGTAGTTTTTTTTAATATCCTCTCTCTATGGATATCTGAACTTGTTTTTATAGTGACTCAATTTTTAACTTGACTTAAAATTTTAAACATCATTAACTATTCATTTGTACTTTTTGTAATCTAATTGACTCTCCACACACACCACACCCCCCAGTTTGTTTCTTCTATTTATACAAAATCTTTATTACTCAACCACTGAGGGCAGTCTTTTTTTGGTATTTTTTTTTCCTTAGTTATATCTAAAATAACCAATTCATAATTCTTCATGATCAGGATGTGTCTTTTATGCTAAAACAACCAACCTAACAACAGTTCCTGCACTGTTAAGTAGACTCTTAGAGTCACCTTGTGAGGACAGAGGTTTCCTAGGTTGTTAATCTTTAAGGAAACAGACCAGCACATATTTTTCACAGCAACTAGTATGTTTGAACCAGTGACCTTTTTGTGTAGCAGCCAAGAGCTTAACCATTGTGCTACTAAGACTCCTTGTCTTTCAGTCTCCTCTCTTGTAGTGACATTAGTCCTTCCCTAGGAACTCCTGCTCTTAAAGATGAAGATACACTGCTGAGAAAGATCAGGACAATAAAAAGAAAATAATGGTTCTGATTTATTCTGCTTCTTGGGCAGCAAAGAGCTTCCTTATTTAAAGCTAATGTTTAGTTTAGAATGATAATAAGAATTTTTTAAAACTTTTGTGCCCACTGTTCGCTTAAGAAATGTTAACTTCCTCATTTCTGCAGTCTGCTTAATGACATTTATTTCTGTTTTTAAAGAAACCTTATTATGTCGCTCCTGTTATTGAAAAAAGAGCGGTGCTTCTTTGCGATGGCAAACTGAGGCTCAGCACAGTCCAGCAGGCTTTTGGGCTCTCTCTCATTGAAATGCTGCATGGTAAGTCAGCTGCACACCTCCACCCTCACCTACACTCTCTTCTTTCCACCTTCTATTTTCCAACTTTCCCTAATAATGAGAATGAGCTGTAGCTAGCCATTCAGCAGTTCACTAGATAATTTATAAATATCAGTATCTCAGATTATTATATTATTGTTAGTTGCTGTCAAGTTGAAATTGACTCAGAGCTAACCCTTCAGATGGTTTTCAGAGGCATTAAATAGGAGGATATTGTCCATCTTTCTCCTGGGGAGCAGCTGGTAGATTTGAGCTGGTGAAAATATTTTCTGGTGGATTTGTGCCTTTGGGTTAGCAGAGAAGCTCCTCACTCATGAGGCCACCAGAGCTGCATGCATGCTATAGGCACTAAAATAAATGAGAATACAAATAATAACTTATAGTCCAACTGGAAAATGTATACATACACATGGAAAAACTAAAAGAATTATAAAGCAGCATGTTGTTGTTGTTGTATACCGTAGTGTTGGAACGACCCATAGCTGACCCTCCAGTGGGGTTTTCAGAGGCAGTGAATCACACTGAAGCAGATTGCCCTTCCTTCACCCATGGAGCAGCTAGTGGCCTCAAACTGCATGCCTTTGGGATTACAACACAACTTCTTGGCCACCAGAGCCCATATAATAGCATATAACAAGGAATTCACAAAAGCTTCATATATATGTCTGCTGTGCTAAAATAGCGGAATAGCAAAATATTTCTGGTTTTGACACCAAAATTTTTATTAACCCACCTTTCTGCTTTTTAACACGTTACAAGCCAGATTAACCTCTTTGAACCCAGGGTTGTGATAGGAACCGTCATATTAAAACGTGGTGGTAGACCTATACTTGCTTTTACATTTTTCTGGCCCCTTTCAATATCTGGCTGTCACTTCTCTTGCTCTCTTTTGGCCATCCCTTACCAACTCGATTCTAACCCCTGTAAAATTAAGACTAAAAATATCGACCACCCCATGCTGTGGTTAAGAGAATGCCCAGCACTAAGCCAAGTGCCAGGGGTATTCAGACAGTTCCACCTTGCTCTTTTGCATGCACCCTCTCACCCGTCATGTGCCGAGGAACCACTTTACATGTAAACGGAACCCACAGGTAAAGTCCGTCAGGTCCAGTAAGGGGCCTTGTGCCACATCAGACTAAAGACTGAGCAGCCCCAATAACCCCCGATTCATGGTTCCCTGCAAGTGTCTCCTTCACACCTCTGTCATGACAAGGGCATTAGGAGGGGTCCTTCAGTCCCCTCTGACATACCTGGAATAGTATGCGGGACCAGGGAAGCCAAAGCCTGAGTGACCATCCCCAGGGTGTCACCCAGGAGGGGCAGGGTGGTAATGACAACCCAAGCTCAAAGTTAGTGCTATTTGTTCTTGCAAAGGAGAATTGGAGCCTGGGCAAGAAAATCAACTGGAGGGCAAGGGACAGGCCTGCCTTTCAGTAACGGAAGTGGTCAGGCTTGAAGGGCCCGTCGGAGGCTATGCCCAGGTCCTGGGTCTGTTTCTCAGTCAGCGTGGTCCGCTTCAGGCTCAGTGTGCCCAGGTGGGCTTCAGCCACTGCCTTGTCCAGCTTCTTGGGTAGGATAGCGGACTATTTCTTAGAAGAGTTGTAGCAAACACGGGGATACAAAGAGCATCCTTAGGTGGCAAGGAACCACATTGTGCCCATGGTCCATCAGATGTAAAGCATGGTTGTCAGCTTGGGCTTTGCTCTTCACAGAAGCTAGAACATTGAACATAAAATTGTGTTTCCTTTTATCCCCCTTCACATTGGATCATCAGCATTTTTAAAGTTTTGACATCTATGTATCTTGTCACTTTTGATGGGTAACATTCCATTCTGTGGTATACAGTATCTTACTTTATCATATTTTCTCTGACACTTGACTGTCCAATTTTCTACAGTCACAGATTGCACTGAAAACAAGTTTCTCTGAATATTTTGAATTTTATTTTTGAGAAGCACAGATTTTCAGAAGTGAAATCACAGTATTGAGGAGGTGGACTAGACTTGAAAGGACAAGAGGTAATCCACACATATTATACTAGTGGCTCCTGGGCCACTCTACAATGAGCCGTTTAGCATTATCTGGGCCTGGCCTTGGGTTTCTAATGGTTGGTGTGGATCTAAAGTCAGTCATTGCCATTGAATCAAAGCTGACTCACAGCTGATCCCCCAGTGAGTTTCCCAAGTTGTAAAGCAAATGGGAGATTACCCATCTTTCTTCTGAGGAGAGGTGTTGATAGATTCAAACTGCCAAAGAGGCATAGCTTCTGGGTTATTAAGTGGATATAATGAATAAAGAAGGTCTGATGGTTTAGTGGTAAGGAGCTATACTGCCAACCTAGAGGCACACGGTTCAAATCCACCAGCAGCTCCATGGGAGAACGATGGCCAGGCTCCTTCCATGCAGTTTACAGCCTCTGAAAACCTGCTAGCGGGTCAATTTTGAGTCGGTTCTGATTGACAGTACACAACAACAATAACAAATGAATAAAAAAAAAATTCAGAGTGTCTGTCCATCTTTACATAATTAGGGTAAATGATGTAGATAAGGTAGAGATGGTCACATACCACCTGTGATCCATGCCCACACATCTGCATAACCCTGACTGATGAGCATTGAGCCTGGGTGAAGATGTGTGTCCCTTCACTGTAATCACCTTTTAGTTGTGTATAAGTCATCCACGTTCTCTCAATGCCAGTCATTCTGTCTCCCCATTCTGTTAAAATCTGTTGTAATTACATTCAGTATCAGCAATTACTGCATCCCTTCTCTCAAGGCAAACACACAATCTAGTCATCTTTTTCTTCATACAAAAAGATACTCTTTTCATCTGCTCAAGTATTTCTTTTGCTTCACAGGTTCCCTCTGGATCCTCCTCACTGCGGACAGTGAAGGCTTCATCCCATTAACGTTCACATCCACACAGGAGCTGATCATTAGAGATGGCAACCTGTCCAGGTCAGATGTTTTTGAAGACTCTTTTTCTCAGAATCTGGATCCTGGTCCTGCTCTTGAATACTTTAGAGACCATACGGCCCGAAGTTTAGAGACTACTAACTGTTCTAACCACTTAGGGAACACAGCATGATATTTGTAGACTATTTGCTGTACAGCTTTTTAAATTATGCCATTAAAATCAAGATTTATAAACCAAGCCATGGTGGTTGGCTCTTCTGGTTTTCCCTGGGCTGCGTAGCAGTAGAGCACAGCACAGTGTTTGTTAGATGACTCAGAAAGTGACTGTTTATATATTTATGATCGTTGTGGTTTTTGTCTACGGGCACAGTTCCCAGAGCAAAATAATGAAAGTGTGCTGTATGGATTGTGTTTTATGGTTTCTCTGAACCTATGTGTGTCCCTTGCCTGAAGCTGCATTCAGTCTGTCTTATGAACACTTAAAAGATGCCTAAGCATTGGAGGAGGTCTTTTCTTTGGCTTATAGTTGAGGGTGAGGCATCAAGAAGAACTTCTTCTCCAGCAATCAGCAGAGCTTGGAAGATAAAAACTCATTGACTTGTACATATCCATCCAAGGCAACAAAAGGAGAGAGAGGATTAGGAGGATATGGAATGTGTGGCTAATTACCTCCATGAACAACTACCTCTTTACCATGAGACCAGAAGAACTGGAGGGGTTTGGTTATCACCACTGAACATTTTGTTCAAAGGTTCTATGAAAGAATCTTTACCAAAATGGGGATAATACAGAACAGAATTGAGATTCTCATGAATGCTAGATTTTCGAGAGCACTAGAGAGTGGATGAACCCCTGATATTATTGCCTTGAGATAATTACTAAACCTATACCATAAGTATGAAACAGAGTAAAAACACCGCATGGTTCAAAATCAAGAAAAGAGTGTGTCAGGGGTGCATCCTTTGTCCACACCATTTTAATCTATATGTGGAACAGATAATTCGAGAGGCTGGGCTTTATGAGGAGGACTGAGGCATAAGGATTGGAGGAAGACTCATCAAAAACCTGCATTATGCACATGACACAATCTTGCTTGCTGAAACTGAGGAGGACCTAAAGCACTTGCTGCACAAAGTCGAGGACTAGTCTTCAATATGGATTGAAGTGCAACATCAAGAAGACCGATCTCACCACTGGGACAATTGGCAGCACGATGATAGATGGAAAAGAGATTGAAATGGTTAACAATTACAGCTTGCTTGGCTCCACAAACAACACTCTTGGCATCAACATTCAGGAAATCAAAAGATTAACTGCATTGGGAGAGCCTGCTGTCAGAGACCTCTCCAAAGTGTGAAATAGTGATGATATCAGTCTAGTCACTAAGGTGCACCTTATCCAGGCCATGATCTTCACAGTTACTTGTTGTTATCAGAGAGCTGGACAGTGACTAAGGATGGCAGAAGAAGAATTGATGCCTTTTAATTGTGGTGCTAGAGAAGAGTCTTGAGCATACCATGGACCGCCAAGAGAACAGACAAGTCTGTTTTGAAAAGAGTGAAACCAAGTTTCTCCTTGAAGGCAAGGATTTTGAAATTCTGTCTGTCTTTGGGCATGTGGCCAGGAGGGACCACCAGTCCTTGGAGAAAGACATCAAGCTTGGAAGCAGGGTGGACAGTGCGGGAGAGGAAGACCCTGGATGAGACGGACTGATACAGTGACTGGGGCAGTGGGGGTAGGTGTGTTGGAGTCAGTGAGATTGACTCAGGGCAGGGCAGGCCTCAGAGCTATTGTACATAGGGTTGCTATGAGTCGCAGGCACATAACAGCAGTATACCATAAGTATCCCCTGAAATATTCTTAAAACCAATAAATAATTTGGTCTATATAATTAAAAAAAGATTTGCCTTGAGCGTTACACTCTTGTAAAAACTACACAGGATCAAATTGACAATAACTTGAAAGACTGGAGTCTTGGGACAATGAATTTATGTTAATGAGGTATGAACAACTCAGAATAGATGGATGAGAATGGTTTACACAACTCAAAGAATGTAAGCCTTGACACTAACTTGTCCATACACAAAGTGTTGCCTTGTTATATGTTTTGCTGTGTCTATTCTCAACAACAGCAAGATAAATAAAATTTACAGGAGGGAAAAAAGGGTTGACTTGTTCCCTGGGACGCCTGAAACGCAGAAGTTCTGCTGTTGGCCTTCCAGGATTTAAACCCAACTCTCTTGCTTCCCTAAAAATCCCTGCTTCTTGTTTTGGGCTGTTGGATCACCTGCACAACAGCCCTGAACCTTGCTCTATCCTGAGCCAGTCTCACCGACTCCGACTCCAACACCCCTAATCCCATTGTCTCTGGTTACAGAGGACCAAACACATATAACACTTGGCCTTGAGCTTTTTCCATTCACTTTGTAGGTCGTTTGTCCAGTGCTTCAGTTCCTCTAGGCTCCACCTGAGCATGTAATGGTGCTACCAGAAGAGTGCTGAACTCGGGCGACACCCAAGGAATGATTCTGTGCTGTTGTTACTCATGATTTTTCTCCCTGAAATACTTTTCTGTTTTGAAATAATATAATTTCTGCATTTCTTCCCAGTAGTCAGCTCTTTTCGTTAACTTATCTGTGACTTTAATTTTTATATTTTTATTTTTCCCTATCCCTAAGCACACATTGTCTGTGAGAGGCTGTGTTTGTTAATTTCATGGAATCAGAGGGGGTTCTGATGTATACACTTAAGGGCTAACATGCCAGCCGAGTATTGTGGGAAGTCTCTGATTGCATTCAGACACCCCTGCTTACTGCTCTCACCCAGAATGATAAACTGCAATTACAGCAGCACAACACGTTGATCAGTGGGTGGCTAATCAGAGCACATCTGCACAGAGAAATCATTTCAGCCATTGAAGCTCCATTAGCAAATAGGCATCTTTCACTGCCCCCCGCCACTTTCCTTGAAAATTATCTGGAAAGAAAATATTTTGTACCCTAGGGGGCTCCTGTCTGTCTCTTTCCGTTTATGAAGATGGAGCAGGGAGAGGAAAGAAGCACGGGCACATTTTGTGGTTCAAATGCATTAGACAGCTGCTGGGATAATGGACGTGGAGGCCACTTGTCTGTGCTCAGCTGTCTCAGAGCAGTGACTGCGGATAGTCTTAGTCTGGCTCCACTGGGGAAGGAAGTGACTGGATGCGATGAAGTTAAAACTGTTGTGAAGCCTAAAGAAGGGGATGTGGGAGCCCTTAAGACAATGTGCTTCAAGATGTATGTTCTCATCACCATTGCTCTGGTCTAATTCTCATGGATGAGCCTTCAGTAAAATCACTAATATTTGTGGCTGTTAGTGAATGTTTTTATGGGGCTGGGTGTGTGTGTGTGTGTGTGTGAGTGTGTGAGATAATTGCAGGAATAGAGAAATGCTACTGCTTTTATGTATGTGTAGGATGTTTCTGTAGTTGCTCTGGTAAACAATGCCAAGTATAAATTGTTTATTTCTTTACAACCATCTGATTCCATGCAAACGATGTCTCCTTGGCCTCTGCTACCGTGATCATCTCACTGGGACAACAGAAGATCATCCTGTATTTGCTGACTTTGGAGCCAGAGAGAAAAGAGCAAAATTCTTGACATTATAATGTAAAATAATATAAAAACATTATTGACATATTCCACCTTGCACCCAACAAATTTTTTTTTATAAATTTTGATACATAATTGGTAATATTTGATACAGGCACCATATCTAAGGTAAACCAAGCCCAGTGCTGCAGAGTCTATTGGCAACTGTCCATCAGGTTTCTGAGGCTTCAAATCATCACAGGAACAGACTCCCTCATCTTCTCCTGCGGAGAATCTGCTGGGTTCAAACTGCTGACCTTTCAGGTAGCAGCACAATAGTTAACCACTGCCACCAAGGATCCTTATATAGGGTGTGACCCGAAACCCCACAGTCCTCTGTCCCACTCATACTGACCCTGCTTTGAGTTTCCAACATGTATCTTTGTGGGGTGTGACTGCCTGTTTTTCTCTTATGAAGTTGTTGATGGTGGATTCAAACTGCCAGCCTTTCCACTAGCAGCCTAACACGTAACACACTCTGCCACCAGGGCTCCTTATCACAGGGCATAAAAAGATGTAATGAAATTAATGGCCTAATTTAAGAACTAGAACATTACCAGAAACCCTTCAACTTCTCTGTTGTGTTTCTTCATGATCCCATCTCCACAGCCCAGTCCTAAAGCGGCTAATCTTTTGTTTGTCATAATGATTGTAATTATCATTCTTCATTCTTTTTTTTTTTAAAAAAAAGGTTTGCTACATGTATGTGCTAGCCTAAATAATGTGATGAGCGTAATGAAAATGGTATTCTGGTTCGTCTTCTGTGACTTGATTTTTTCCCCCCCATTCAACATTGTTTTTTATTGAATCACCTTATATTTGTTAATTTCATTGTTTTGTAGTTAGCACAATTTCCTTTCATTGACATCTGTATTGTTCTCTGATTTTAGGTCAGTGAATATGAACAATATTATATTGAATAATCTTGTAATTGTTTCCTGACGGGTTTGAAAAATTTCTTTTTTACTTTAAAGTTGTATTATTGAGTCATAGGTATGGGTATGTTCAATTAATGCCAAAATGCCTTTAGGAGGTAATGCCATAATGTTGGTTTTGTTTTGTACCATCAAGTTGGAAACGCTCATAGCTGACCCTCCAGTGAGTTTTCAGAGGCAGTTAATCACGCGGGAGGAGACTGCACATCTCCCATGGAGCAGCTGGTGGCTATGAACTGTGTGGTTCTGGGTTGACAGTACAGCTCCTTACAGCTCTTTACCACTAGGCCTCCGGAGATCCCTGCTGCCACAAGGGTAATATCTACTTTGATGTTCCAGAGCAATTATGTTAGTGTCTGTTGTTCTCCAAGCTCGGGTGCTCCTTAATTTTGTAATAGTCTGTTATTGTTAAGTTAAAACCGACTCATAGCTGACCCTCTAGCGGGTCTTCAAGAGTTTAAAATCACATTGTAGGAAATTGTCCATCTTCCTCTCTCAGAGCAGCTGGTAGATTCAAACCACGTACCTTGGTGTTGGCAGCACGATTCTTTACCGCTACTCCACTAGAGCTCTCTAGTAATTTTAAATGGTTTTTCATGTGATTCTCA